CAGCAGCAGCAGCAGCAGCAGCAGCAGCAGCAGCAGCAGCAGCTGGGGCTTATAAAGAGCTACCGCTGCAGCGTGAGACTGCAGCACAGCAGCTGGTTGCTGCAGAGCTGCATGCGCATGCTATTGGCGCTGCTGCAGCAGCAAGCAGCAGAACTTTTGCTGCCAGCTGTCTTTCGACTCTGTCTGTCCCCCGCCTCCCTTTCACAGCAGCAGCAGCAGCTGCAGCAGCAGCAGCAGCAGCAGCAGCTTGCTGCTGCAGATGCTCACAGTGTTGCTTCACTTGAGTGGGCTGCCTTCTGTCGCCTGCTTTGCTTCGAGGCCTTCTCCCCATGCAGCAACAGCAGCAGCAGCAGCAGCAGCAGCAGCAGCAACAGCAACAGCAAGTTCAGCAGCGGCAGCTGCTGCAACAGGAGCAGCAGCAGCAGCAGCAGCAGCGAGCACTTTGCTGTTGCAGCAGCAGCTGCTGATCTGCTGCAGCTGCACGCTGAAGGGATGCTGCAAGAAGAGAATCTGCTGCCGAAGCAGCAGCAGCTGCAGCAGCAGCAGCAACCGCAGCAGAAGCAGCAGCAGCAGCAGCAGCAGCGAGACAGGTGCTGCAGCGAATCCTTCTTTGTTGCTTCAGGCAGCAGCAACAGCAGCTCAGGAGGGACAGCAGCAAAAGCAGCAAGAACTGCAGCAACCGCAGCAGCAGCAACAGCAGCAACAGCAGCAGCAGCAGCAACTGCAGCAGCACTAAGAGACCTAGAAGCTGAGGGCCTCGGCCCTCTTGCTGCCATCATCAACAACACCCAGAAGAAACTCGATCAGCAGCAGCAGCAGCAGCAGCAGCAGCAGCAGCAGCAGCAGCAAGGTAAAGAAGCAGCCTTCAATACTTCTACCCCTTCGGAGGCACATCGTTGCGGTCTGCGGCTCCCATCCGCAGCAGCAGCAGCAGCAGCAGCAGCAGCAACAGGATCAGGATCAGCAGCAGCAGCAGCAACTGCAGCAGCTGCTGCTGATGGTGTGTGCAGCTGCAGCACGAGCGAGCTGCCGGTGCTGGGGCTTCGCTGTCAGCTGCCTTGCATCTTTCTGCTGCTGCATTTGCTGCTGGAGGATCTGCTGCTGCGTGAGGTGTCTGTACACCCGGAGCTGCAGCAGCTCGTGCTGCTGCTGTCGATGCTGGCGCGGCTGCTGCAGCTGCCTCTCTTCGTCAGCTACTACCAGTGCTGCTTCCCTTCTACGCTGCAGCAGTACAGCAGCAGCGGCAGCAGAAACAGCAGCAGCAGCAGCAGCAGCAGCAGCAGCAAGCAAGGCTGCTGCAGCGCAAGCTGCAGAGTGCTGCGGCACCGTCATGCAGCAGCAGCAGCTGCTGCTGCAGCTGGGCAGTTGCAGCTGGATACAGCTGAGGCTGCAGCAGCAGCAGCAGCAGCAGCAACTTGCTGCTGCAGCAGCTGCGAGCCTCCGCTGCTGCTGTGGCTCAGACAGCTGCAGCAGGTGCCTTCATCGATCGACTTGCTGCAGCAGCTGGCAGAGAGGCGAACGCAGCAGCAGCTGCAGCAGCAGCAGCAGCAGCAGCAGCAAGGTTCCGTTGCTGCTGCAGCACTGCAGCGTCTCACCAGGCGACAAAAGGCTCTAGAAGAGTCTCTGGGTTTGCTGCAGCAGACACGCGGCGCTCTCAGCAGCAGCAGCAGCAGCAGCAGCAGCAGCAGCAGCAGCAGCAGCAGCAGTGCTGTTGGCGTCGAACAGCCGATGCAGCAGGCGATGGTGATCGATACTCCACAGCAGCAGCAGCAGCAGCAGCAGCAATGGCAACAGCAGCAGCAGCAGCAGCAACGCGCAGTTGTGTACCCTTCTCTGCTGCTGCCGCTAACACGTTTTGCTGCTGCTGCTGTTGCTGCTGCCTTTGGTGCTGAGGTGCAGCAGCAATTCCCAGCTGCAGTGACACCTCAGGGGCCTCCGCTCTGCTTACTGCAGCAGCAGCAGCAGCAGCAGCAGCAAGAGCAGCAGCAGCAGCAGCAGCAGCAACGTCAAGGTCGACTGTGGCAGGTGCTGCAGCTCAGCAGCGCAGCAGGTCTCCACCACCAGCTGCTGCAGCAGCTGCTGCTGCCGCTGCGGCTGTGGCTGTCTCAGGTGTATAGGCAGCTCGGGCCCTCAGAGGATTTGCTGCAGCGGCAGCTGCAGCAGCAGCAGCTGCTGCTGCTGCGCAGGCCAGATGTAGCAGCTAACCGCATGCTGCTGCGCTCCCTGCAGCGGCGAGGAGCCATCACTTGCAGCAGGAGCAGCAGCAGCAGCAGCAGCAGCAATAGCGGGGCCTCGGAGGCAGCAGCAGGAGAAGTGCTGGCGCGGCTTGTCCTTGCCTCTAACTACAGAGGCAGATCTGCTGCTGCTGATAGGTGCAGCAGCAGCAGCAGCAGCAGCAGCAGCAGCAGCAGCAGCAGCAGCAGCGGCGGTAGCGCGGGTCTCTTCTCGTCACAGCAGCATGAAGAGCAGCAGCAGCACAGCAACAGGAGCAGCAGCAGCAGCAGCAGCAGCAGCAGCAGCAGCTTGAGAGAGCTAGCTAGCCGTGTATTGAATCCATCTTCCCCCTGCATAGCTCGTGTGCTTCTAGAGTCTCCTGCTGCTGCTGCTGCTGCTCTGCCTGACGACGTGCTGCGGCTGCTGCAGCAGCAAGTGCTGCAGCGGCGGCTGTCTCTCCCCCTGGGGTGGGGGGCCCTGCTGCTGGGATCTGAGGACCCTGAGGTGTACGTACACCTCAGCAGGGTGCTGCAGCCGCTGGAGCTGCGTTGCCAGATACTGACTGTTGCCCCGCTGCAGCAGCAGCAACAGCAGCAG